TAGTAAATAGAAGTAGGATTTCTAATGGAGGTAGGCTAGGAGGAACTAATATTTTAATATAATATATCCTATATAAATACTCTTCTAAATTCCCTTCGTTCGAATTTTAACGAAATATTGGATTTTAAATATAATTACCCGTCTTTAATAATAATTATTAAAATAATCTATCTCTAATTAATTCTCTCCTCTATTTGATTTTCTCCTCTATTCGATTCTCCTTTTTATAACCCTACCCTTTTAATCCTTTCGAAATACGCGTAATAATTTCGCTATATTTATTTCATAATTCTTTTGTAATATTTATGTATCGAACTATTTTTTCTACCCTATATTTCCGCTTTATTAAAATTAATTTATAATATTTCCTCTTCCTCGTTATCATTTGCTACGTCTCCTCCCTCCTCCTCGAAGTATACGAAGGCTTCGTCCTCGTCTTCGAAGTCGATATCGTTATATTCTAGTATAAAGTTTAGAATTACTACGTAAATATAAATAATAAGAATCTACATTTTAATAAGGAAGATTAGTTTATAAGTAAACATTTTAAAGGCTAATTTTAATTTACTAATTACCCTTTCGATAATAACCTTAATATAATTATTTTTCAAATTATATAGTGCTTTATATATTATTAATCTAATACCCCCCCTCTTCGACTCCTATAAATAATATTGTACGCTATAATATGGTATAAATAATCTATATAAATAATTATACCCGCCGTCGGCTAAATAAAAGTAATTCGTTAGAATCGAGAAGCCGTATACTAATAAAGCTCTAAATATTCGACTATTGTATATAAAGCCTTTATACCTGAACAAAGTATATATAATATAACTATCGAAATTATATACGAATATAACGTTTATTGAAAGCTTACCCTTACGGGTTCGCTAAATAGGTTACTTATCGTTACTTACCTTTATAAGGAAGTAGGAACTATCGAAAGCACTTAGTACCCTATTAAAATAAAAATATAACTTCGGGTTCGTTTTAATTTTTATCGGAGTATATAGAAGGGGGAGTTTAATCTTCGACTAGGCAAATTAAATATAAGCTTTTAATATTTAATAGAAGGCCTTATTTGTATAGAGAATTGAAGTAAATATAAGTTACTAAATTTTAATAGGACTTTGATATTAACTTATATATTATAGAAATACTTTACTTAATAACCTATCCCGATATTTGATAAATAATACCCTATAATATTATTAACAAGAAAATTATAACCTTTTCGTCTAATTATAGAATCCTTCCCCCGCGTAGCCTAATATTATATTAGAACTATATAATTAACGTAAATACTATATTTACTTATATACGGATAAATAATTATAATCGACCTTAATACCCAAATAAGAAGTCTTTAATAATAAAGATTCCCTTCAAAGGATTAGGGTTTATAACGAACCGGGGACTCAACTGTATTACCGCTATAATAATTAGAAAGGAGGCTATATATATACGCACTTTGCGCTTACGCGTTGTAATCGTGGTAGTACTAGGGGATTTACGTTGTATTTGGGGGGTAATATACTATACAATATGCAATATTGTAGTGTATATAGTGCTGAAATCGCTGTATATACTAGGCTCTAGAAGGGGGTAGCGAATCTTAGTATTAAAATCTACAAAAATCTACCTAGTTACAATTTGCAAAATAGTAATTTTTTAATTTACTGGATAAAAATGTAATTTTATACTCTGGTTGGCTGGAAAGTCAAAAAGCGGAAATTTTTTTTTCACCGGGTTATTAAGACGTGCACGGACGTGTTAACCCGGTGAAAAGGTATAAAGGTGTTGAGGTTGTTCGGGGAACACGATTTCCACCGGGGCTTTTCACCCGGTGAAAACGCTAAAAAAAAAACTGAATGGAACACACCCTAAAGGATACATGACGCAGATTGTTTGTAGCCGGTACTTGAGTCGCACCAACACCCCGTCCGTGCTCCGTTCAGACCTCAGATGGTGGACGGGAACGAAATGCACCGTTACAGCACCTGCCTCAACGAAACCGTTATCCCACGCTGCAGTGAGCAGTGCAGTGAGCGACGACGGAGCGTTATCTTTCAACCGGGCCCGAACAAAAGATGATATTACCGTATATTCGTAGGAAGGAAAGTACAGTGACATGTTGATTGTTGTTTCGAAGAGTTCAACAAACATCAGGCTCCGGCCTTCCATCTCTCTGATCTTGGTGGCGGCACCCATTCGCTGACGGCAAAATGTGTTTTGACATACTTTGAAACCATCACGATTCATTTCCTTCTCTTTCCCTTTCCCGACTTAATGCCTTTGACTTCAGTTCCAAATTGACCTCGTCCGAGAACCTCGGTCGTGGATGCCCCTGTATATCTTCCCTTGATACTATCGACAATTCGGAGGATGGATGGAAAGGAAGGAGCCAAGGAAGGAGTTGATGGAGACAGTTGCGGCAGCTTCGGCTGGTGCAGGCCACTAAGAATGCGCTAAATCATGCCCGCCTGCAACTAAGGTCGACTAACGTTACTACTGTGGGTAGGCGCAACTGCCAGCTCGCTCTGTCGCTAAAGGCGAGTCAACACGGGTTTTCTACCGGCAAGCACTTGGGTATCCGGAATTGTAAGTGAAGCCTCTCGAACACCATAGTAGAAAATGTTTTTTTCCTGACACAAAGTAAGACGGGCAGCAATTCAAGTCTTGGATTTGATGGAGAACGTGCGCCTGGATTGATGTAGTACCAATTGTAGGTAGGTGTGTGCGGCAGTGGACTGTACCTTGAGAGTGAGGGCCCGGGATATGTAATTGGCGGCGGCTGCCCGGTGTGCCAGTGTCGTGGTGTTGATACGATGCACCTTCCTCCAGCGACGGAACTCCAAGTGTGTGAGCCAGGCACTCCTTCCACGTTTACCACCTACATCAATGTTCGCTTACCTGGTGGTGCTTGCCCTCAATTCTGTCGGAATTTCTTCGTTGCGGCTTCTGCTCTGGAAATGAGGTGGTCTGGAGTCTGGACTGTCACTCTTGGTCGTCCGATTTTGGAGGTTGACCCGTTGGCGATTCCCAGAGAAGCGCTAGAAATGGATCCTTACCGTGCTGCGCTAAAGCGACTTGCAGCATGCCAAGCATTAAGCTCCACCTCTCCTCCGACGACATTCCTTGTTCCCAGCAGCCTCATGCTTCGGTACAGTGAACTGTGATGCACGCTCCACTGTAGGTACGTACCTGCCGAATGGGCCCATGTCCAGCGAGTGGCAGGTACCCAACAAGGTAGAGGTACCTGCCTACAGCTCATCAGGTGCATGGAAAGTGGGCAGGTGATCCTGGAAGGAACGGTGCTTCGCATCTTTTGACAACACTCCACCTTCCATCCCGTCGGGATGCGGATGGAGCATTTTCATCCATCCATTTTTTTATTTTATTTTTCGTTTTCTCACTGTGCTTAAGCTCCGTCCTCACGATCCTCCATACTCCGTAGGACGCACCTGGCATACAAGGTTAAATACAACGTCATGCCCACCGTCCCATCTTGGCCATCTCCTCTTTCTCCAGTTTGTAGAGCTTGCTTCAAGTTCCCCCACAGATTCTTCAACCAGTCCAACTCAGGCACTTGACTACTCGGCACGTCATCGACATCGATATCATACCTTGGGTTCGACTCTCACTAGACTGCCGACTATCTCATCCTCGCGATCAGCACCAAAACCGATACCACCAATTGTTCCAACAAAACACCAATATCAGTCAAAATGTGCGATTACACTCAACGGGAATACTCGTGCGGCCACTTCCGCTGGATCGCGTCCAAGTGGTGCAGAGACTACACGATCACCCACAAGCGCTGCCAACCAAACGTCACCCACTTTGAGTACAGGCAGGAGGAGCTATGCGGTATGTGATCGACATGACTTTCATTTGGAGATGAAGAACCGTTTTTGGCCCCCCACGCCATTTCCGGTTTCATCATCCTGACATCTTTCCCCCACATCGACTGGAGGCTGACTTCCAAATAGGCGAATGCAAGCCCAAGACATACCCTCCCTGGGAGAGCATGATTAAGCGCTCCAGTAAGCAGCAGACTTACCTTTGAGCGCATCAGCCTTCTGGAGATATCAGACAAGACAACCACTTTCCCCACCGAAGCCCGCAATTGCACCAACGATCAGCGGCTTTCAAGGCGGTACAACAATGCGAGGCTACTAGGTCCATCTGGGGAATCCGGGGATACCGCAATCGGGTGACGACGGGCCAGGCGCCGACCACCTCGACTTGAAGATCTTCACCGAACGAGAGAACGACACTAGAGCGGAAACATTGACAACGGCGGCGACGGAGATGAGAAATCAGGTCAACCACTGCCGAAAGCACATGGACCCGGGCCCGTACATGAAAAACACCAAAGCGGCAGTTCGGGCGTTTCCATGCGACAATGACAACGGCCATACGCAACGCGAGCCCCATGCAGAATCAAGGCAACGATAGGTACTTGGGTTGGAAAATTGAACCCTCGGCATCCCATGCTTGCCAAGAACCATGGATGGGCCACACCTCACGGCGACCCCCCTTGTCACAGCAGCAAGCATGGACACCACACCCATTCCCACCGGCCATCACACAGCAGGCAAGCAACTGGGCGGTCAATCACTTCCCATTATCAATCCACCGGACTGCCGAATTGGTTTCCATTTCCAGCCAGCTGTAATATGAGGCATCATCTGCGTCAAGCTGTGATGAGTCTGCACTGGCGACCGCCCTGTCTCATACGGTCCGGTCCAACCCCATTGCAACCCTACCCAGGGTGGTGCTGCAGCATGGTTGGGGGACAGGTCCAGGGCATGGAACAACAGTAACCTTGACGGCCAGCTGTCGCGACCTTCAATCCATCGTCGCCTTGTCATGTCAACATCATCATCATTATCATCGGTACACGTGGGCGCCAACAGGCCGGCCAGAACTTACTCCTTTCTCCTCCCCCACTCTGACACCCGACTCTCCAACCACAAAACTGGTCGTGTCTCATCACAAGTCACTAGCCTGCGCCTCCCCCACGACTTGCGTGCTTCCTCTCATCTCGTTCTAGAAGCCCAACGAGTGGGGGGTGAGCAATAGAAAGCCCAACGAACTCGGGTTCATGTTGGCCTATCCTTTTCTTCTTTTCTTCTTTGTGTTTTTCTTTTGCTTGCCTTTCATGGCCTTTGGCCATCTTGCATCTTATACCCAATGGACCTTCAAGGCAGGTCTTAATCATTCATCATCATCATGGGCCATACATATGTGTGTATGTGTGTATTGTACATATAGAGAGGTTGTTTTGCAGGCGTTGTTTGCCTTTTGCTTGGAGTCTTGGGAGTTTGCGCTTTTTACGAGGGAACATAATGGTTATTGGTATCATTGGCAGGCTTGGGATGGAAGGGAAAATGAGATTTTTAAGAGGAGGATGAACCGGCTATGGATTGACATGACTTTAGATGGGATATTGGGAAATCAGGAACTGGAGAACGAAAACGATTCATTGAAATCGATTCCTCCATAGCATTCTAAAAAGGCGCCCGAAACGGTGCTTTCACTTGTGTCACAAAACATTTCCATGTCCACGTGTTCTGGGACTCGCTGAGAGGTTTGAGATATCAGGCTCTTCGCGCTGTGAAGGATAGAAATGTCTCCGTGCTGTACTTACCCCTGAGAAGTGGTAAGAGCTAAACAACAAGTAGCGACAAGCACGGAGGTTCTTCCGTATCAGATATCCACGTCCGTCCTTGTCGTCTTGACTGAAAGGGTTGGCCTGAAGCCCTTGAACCGAATCACACCGGGCTGCATTGGTTTGTTTCTATCCATTGGTGAAGCCGAGAGCTTTGTCGTCTTACATACATTGCAAAGTGGGGGTTTGATCGGCAATGGATAAGGGGAGTTTTCCATCTTGAAGGATAACACCACGTCTTCTGACCATCTATCAACCATTCACAGACGTGTTGAAAATCCCAACAGTTATCGACATACGTAGTGAATTTAGACGACGACGATCGTTTGTTGTTGCTCCGTCATCGTATTCCGAATTCCCGATGTGCGTCCAGTGTAGTGTAGAGGTAGTGGAATAACCTCAACCAACATTAGCGAATGCGAACCGCTAAACCTTCTATAGCTTAGTTGAATTGAGCGGCACCGAAGGTCACTGATCGTGGGAGGAAGCCATGACGTGACGGTTGCTGACGGTTGCTGACGGCATCAATCACCTTGAGACGGGACATCGGGGCCGATGGCTACGTACTATAGGCACATACATTACAAAAAATTGGCTGCCCAGGTTCGTTTTAGTGTGGAAGCAGGGGAAAATACTGTAGTGTAATTTCGGAAGATCGTCCGTGGACAATGAATGGACGGAACTGCATGTCCATGTTCCATGTCCATGTTCCATGTCCATGTCCATCAGGCGCACAAAAGGGAAAGCTCCGGGCCTCATCGCACCGCATCGGGATCGGAATTGCGGGTCTCGCGCGCAGGTCAGCGACAGCGGTAGAAAGCGGGTCGCGGAGTCGAATTATGGAGTCGGAGTCGGATCATGATGGGATATGGGATTTTGGGTTAGTGACGGAGCGATACGTACAACGTACAGTACCTATGGGATATGCCATTGTGGTGGTGAGGCTTATACACTAGAGTTAAGGTAGGTATGATTGTGATCGCGATCCTGGGTGATTTCTCTTATAATGTGGGGGTATTAGCACGATTTTTATCGGTTCTTTAGCGCTGATTCCCCAGGCGTACTGTGTATGTTGTAAGACATGTTGGAATTTCTCGATCCCTTCGGTAGTGCGGATCTTCGTCATGTTGTTGAGGTACCTCTAGGGATTGTGAGGGACTACCTAGACATGAAGCTATTGGAAAGTGAGCACTAAATAGCGGGAAATACCGCCGCCAACACATGGCTCTCCGTTCGGTCACGGTTCGGTTCGGTTCGGTTCGAACCTTTTCAAGCTTCTTTGTTTAGGTCTAGTTGGAAAGATCATGCGTGGAAGTACCTGGCATGGTTTCGATGTCTTGAATTCTGGTTAATACAGTTTTGAGATTTCGGAGTTTTGCTGTTCAATTTCAGCGAGTGCAAGGTTGAGACTGCTACCTGTAACCTGTTATGTTACTGTAGGGGGACATTACAGACACCAGAGCCTGCCATTGAGTGTTGACCAACCCATAGGGCAGCATACCTGTAGAACCTGGTAGGAAACCAAAAACCAATGGCTGTCAGGGAAGGTAGTCAACAATTAGCATGTGCTACGATGGTTCATCAACTCGGCCGACCGGTCATGCAGCCCTTTGAGGCGTGTAACACTTCAAGGTAACTTGTCAACATTACACTGCATCATATGGGTAAGCGTCAGCCCATCGACGACGACCATGTAAGTCCTCCCTTGCGTGTGTGGACGGATGTGCGCAGCCTTATGACTGTTATGGAACGATGCTGGAAAGCCGGTGACGACTGAGGGTATGAACAGATGAAGTAACACGTCCGTCGGGTAGCCGTAGTATTTTCCACTTAGTTCCATCTCTGTGCGAGGCTTGCTTTGTTGGCACGATGTGGGCGTAGAGGCAGCCAGCGAGTCAATACGGGCATTCTGGAATAGTTATACGGTCCGAGGAGGCTCGCCCGGTCCGGGAGAAGCCGGTAAAGTTTCCGTGGCCGGAAGCACGATGTGGGGATGTAGACGGTCGTTGGGTACGGCTTTGCCCTGTGCCCTGTGCTACACGGATGTAGTTGCATCGGTCTACCAGGCATCTGCTGCCGGTCTGAATAGTTTGGTCTGGAACACCGTGATCTTGCAGTTACTGAGTGGGTGGTGTGTGGGGGTACATTGGGTCGAAGAGGATATGTTTGTACCTCAAAACGCCGTGGTTGGCTGCCCGTCCTTGCTTCTTTTCCATGGTCTTTGAAGCAGTACTGTGTAGTATCTCTTACCTATCAAACACAACTGTGCGTGGGAATACGGCCGTGTTCGCTCCCGAGCTGTCCACGCTCATATCTAAGCTATGTGTGTATCGTGTCTCGTGACAGAATGTGTGGTCGACCTGACTGGCTAGAGATTCATGTTTGCCGCATGTTTGTTATCGACCTTTGCTGGCAATAGGCTTCTCTTACGCTCAAGGTGTTTTACCCCCAGCAGAAGTGGAAACAAGCAAGCATCCGCCGAACTTTGATGGTTTGGGTATCTTTGGCCGATGGCTTTTCGTCATTGTGTGCATGTGGTAGTGACCGTCAGGCACCATGCGTACGCCATTGGAGGTTTTGGGAAGTGCGTGGGCAATAGTGTTGCACATCCCAGATAGTGCTTTGATGTGCATCGCTGAAGCCCATCGAAGGATAAGCGCATCTCGCAAGCGCCGGCGGAAGTTACAGGGCAGCAAGGCTTCATACCTATCACAGCGTCACGGACGCCTGGTTGTCGTTGTGGCGTGCACCAGAGGGTATCGAAAGTCAGGAGTGTTGAGCAGATGACGTTTGTTTGCTTGTCAAAAAAGAGCCATGCAGAGAAAGAAGAAATAAAAACAGTTAACTTGCCGGTGAAGAAATAACAAGGCAGCCAATCCGAAGAAGCTGAACAATGCCGGCCGAAAGCAAGCAAAATTGTGTCCATGAAGGAGGTGGCCGACTTGTTCAACTATTTGTTTTCGTGAGGGTTGCCGCTGTGTTGCTATGGTGATTACGAGAAGGTCGAGTAACCACTCTGTTGATAATGACAGGGCTTATTAAACGCGTAACACCAACACCACGTGGGCGAAGAGGTCCCAGTATCGAGTCGAGGTGTGGCTTAGATTGCTTGCTGGCGCAATATAATACGCAGAGATGTAGATGCAGCAACAAAGTGCGGGCGTTGCGCTGCCGTTCGCCGTCCTTTTCAGACCGTTTAGGAGAATAAACCCGAGGACGAGAGGGTGTTGTAAGCTTGTTGCTGTTCGTGTCGACGGGTAGATGCTTTGTCAACTAGGATGGATGAGGCCGTACAAAGTTGATGATGGTTTGGGCTGGCATGTGGCATTTGGGTTTGACACCAGTGCCAGGGTCCTGTCGTCGACTGTGGTGAGACCAGCGATGTAGATAAGTCAAGTTGCCAAGCCAAGTTCAAGCAATCAAGCAAATACAAGCAATCAAATCGGGCTGTCCCTCCAAGTCAATCAAGCAATTACAGACCGTCAATTTGATTGACCTTAATTGGCCGCCCGGCAGTATTATTTTTTGGTAATAAAAGTTGTCGATTTTGCCCGCGGTCTGGGCTTTGGAGGCGGTATTTAAGGTCAGGGTTAGGGTTCGCTATAGGCCCCACTATTCTTGGCAATTACTTGATCAATCAAGCAATCAATCAACTCAACTCGATTACTTAACCCACTCAATCAACCTCAAACCCTTGTTTGATTGAACTTGAGTTATCTACATCGCTGGGTGAGACAAAAAATAATGTGATGACGGTTAATCACTCTCGACCACACCATTCCCTTTGGATATTCAGCGTGTGAAGAAGCGGGCAGCCCGTGATTCCGACCGATGTGTTGGATCGATGTTGACTCGGGGTGACAGCTCCTGCAGTGTGCTGCTCTGCATGGCGCTCGTGTCAGATGTAACGGTGCAGAATTGATTTAGGAGTGTAGGTGACTGACTCGCCCAGAAGGTATAGGGGGTGCTAGGGTAACCCAGATATGCCCAAAAATCAGGCAATATCAGGTAGTTAGAGCGCTAACCTCCATATAGTATAACTAAAACCACCTTTAAATCTAACATACCCTCTCACTTGCAAACCTTCTAAATAGGGTAAAAGTAAAGCTATTTAAAGTCTCTCTTTTAATACGTTAATTTCTCTAGCCAAATTATAAATATCTTCTAAAATATTATCCGGAATTTCCTTATCTATCTCTATCTCCTTACGAGCTAGTATATTCGTTATTCCTATTAATTCCCGGAATTTTTCGTAATCCAATTGTCCTAGAACCTTTATTAATTTATCGGCTAATATCTTCTTCGTTTCTAAATATTCAACTTCAATCCTTCCCTCTATAATCTCCTACTTTAATTAATAACGATAGATATCAATATACTTCAATTTAATTATAAGCTTCGCTACTTTAATACTTAATATATAAATTATTTGTATATTATTACAACTGATTACGGGTATATCCTTATCGAAGGGAATATTAATGTCCTTATATAGATATATAATAGCGATAGCTTCCTTAATAGCGTTTGAGATCGATAATAGTTTTATTTTTATTATTAAGGTAGATATTATCTTTTATTTAATTATAAATTTATACGAATTCTTTCAATTTAGAGAATTGTCAGCATATAACGTATTTAAAACGATTTCGAATTTCGTTAACTTACTATAATAGGGAGAGAAATTAAAATAGTATTAAAGGTAGTACAAGATTTTATTAATAATCTTACGATATTAAAAACCGGGATTATAATTATAATAAACCAGTCTGCTAGCGGCGAAAGTAATATTAGGCTGGGTAATTAGAGTAATATATATTATAAAGTCAATAATAATTTAATATTTCTGGATTTTATTAAAAGAGGTTATACTATTATAAAGTATAAACTCTTCATTATTTATTGGAATAAATGTAAAAGTATAGGGATTTTTAATTAATTTAATAATTTTATAAATATATTCCTATTAGGATTACTAAATATAACCTACCTTTCGGTTTCGAATAATTTCAATACTTAAAAACTATTAAAGGTTATTACTATTAGTAAATTTATATTTCTCCTCTAATTTCTTCGTAATCTGGGTAATTTTATTATATTATAATTTATCGAAGGCAAAATTAATATCGTTAATATAGTAGAAAATTAAGATTCCATTACGTTTGAGGATATATAGGTCCTCGAATAATAGTTTAAACCCTAAGTTTTTAAAAGTCCCGTTAAACTTTCGTTATTATAATAAGGCAGTTCGTTAGAGATTATAGAGGGCTTGAAAGATTTTAAAAATAATACTATACTTTTGATAATGAAGAAGTATATATATATAAATCTCCTTATTAAAGTAAGTATTAACGAAGGCGTTTACTATATTATATTAAATAATTTTAAAATTAAATTTGGCGGCGTAAGCGATAATTGACCGAAATAAACGATTAGCTAACGTAGAAGTACATATTTCCTTACTATAATTATATCATTAATTTCTTCTATTTCACGAAGCGAGCTTTTATTTTTAATAACCAATTATATTTATTGAATTTATATATATATATTTATATATAGTCGAGTATTTGAAGACCTTTAATACGGGGAACGTCTTTATTAATTTTAACCTATAATTTTATCTCTTTATAGCTATCGAAATATATTTCTTTTATTTATTTAAAGAAATTATTTAAATCGTAATATTCGAAATGAATTTATTATAAGCTCGGTAGTAAGAATAATTAATAGTATACTTAACAGGGTAAGGTAGCCAAATATAAAGTCGATAAATATTTTATTCTAAACGGTAGGCTCTATTAATTTTGAAACGGTTTCGTTACTATTTTTTAAGGTTCGTTATTAAAGAATAATGGTAGGAGATAAGTAAAACTATTATCTTCTATATTTTAAATTGCGTTAAAAGGTTCGAAATATTATATAGATAATTAAAGAAGTTAATTAATTCGGTTAAATACATTGGCAATCTCGTCGTTACTAATTTTAATCTTTCTTCAAAATTATTAAGGTTCCTTAAATAAATTAGATTTTCGTTAAAAAGTATATTACGGGTATAGACGATATAGTTAGTTTATAGGTTCTAAATTTAATAAATAGAAAAAGTAATATAATTAATAAGGAATCCGATTTAGGCTTCTAATTAAAACTTTCTACGCCGTTACTCTTTTTGTTATTTAATATCCGTTATTATATATACTTTATAACTATAAATACGTAAATAATTAAAATTAAATTTATAGAATTTAATTCATACCCCTTTATAATAAGTTATAAAAATATGAAACCATTCGTATAGAGACTTCTGATTGTAAAAACATTTAGGCGATCGGTTAATAAAGTAGATCGAAATTAAAACGATTTGAAATTAGAAGTTATAAGGGAATTTAACGCTATTTATTATTATACGCGCCTTTTCTTTAATTATATACCTTAAATATTTAGTATTGCCGTTTTAAATTTAGATATTAAATATTAAAGGTTCGAGAATAAGAAGGCAAATAATTAATTGGTCGTTAATATATTAATTATGAAATTTATTATCGTATTTAATATATTTAATTTTAACGTTATATTAATAATTAATTATATTAATAATTGAAAGGAATGTTTTAACGATGGCCTTAATTATTCGGTTCGCTATATAGATATCCTAAATAAATTTAATTTATTAATAAGTAATAAATATAATATATTTAAAATTACTTCTCCTTATTTTATATTTAAAGAAATCGACGGCGAGACGCTTTCCCGCGCTAAATTCCCTATTTTGTAATTTTCATTTAACTTATTATTTAATCTTTAAAATACCGTATGCGTTATATTAATAAGTAGCGGGCCCTTTAAATCTAGCGCCTTAAACGTTATAAAGTATTCAAGGATTTAAAGACTATAGTAATTAAATTGTTTATATTAGAATTTAATAGGCGTTTTATATACGTAATAGCCGGTAAAGAAATTAAAGCGATTTCGATAAGTAAAGAAGGCGGCGCAATTAAAGGAGAGGAATAAGTATTTAAAGACTATTTAATAATAAATTTCTTAAAGGAAATAAAAGAGTAAACTATTTAACCGACGGAAGTAATTATTAAAAGGTTTATAATCTTAATAAAGATTTTATTTTTAAAGTAGGCATAATAATATAAAATTTATAATAGAATTAAAGTAGAAGGCTACTTCTTTCAATTATAACCTTAAAATTCCCTTCTCTTTTTATACTTCTACGTTAATAATCCTAAAACCCTTCATAAATATTTAGAATTTACTAGCTTAGACGCAATCCTTTAGGGACGCTATTCGAAACGAAGAAAAACGATTAATTTCGTTAAAAATATAAATAGAAGCCCCGGAATCGAAGATTATAAAATTTTTAAGTAAATAAATATTACCTTTACCGCTATTTGCATTGAAAATACTTTATTTAATATAAAATATTAAATCACAAGTACTAATTTCTCGTTTCCTTTAATTTCT